TGTCATGGCTGAAGCACACCTAGAAGCCCTGCTCCTGTTCTACAGCAACTGCATATGCTCAGACGTGCTTTTCATTCTAGGATACAACCCTGGTGCTAGAACAGTTTCTTATTTAGGAAAACCCTAGAATAGTCCCAGAGAAATCTGGCCCAAATTTACCCCGCTACTTTGTGTAAATAGGCATACTTGCATGAAAATAAAGCCATACCATAACTGCCTTGCTGACTTAGATGACAAGAGCCATCAAGTGACCCTTTTGGTTCCATTCATGGAGAAACAAAACCTCTTGGAAATTCACACAAGGCTATAGTCAGCTCCTGCTCTTTCACCCCAGCATCCATCCCTCCATAACTTCATTTTTAAGTCACTGGTCCTTGCAGCCAATGTAATACCTTGCAGCAATTAATGCCATAAGTTTAATTATACCTACAGGACCGCCTTTCCCTGTATATACCCCAGAGAGCACTACGGTCTGGGTCTCAAAATTGGTTGACCCTCCATGGCCCGAGGGAGGCCAGGCTAACTGCTACTAGGGCCGGGGCCTTTTCAGTGGCGGCCCCTACCTGGTGGAATGAGCTCCCGGAGGAGATCAGGGCCCTGCGGGACCTTTCGCAGTTCTGCAGGGCCTGCAAGACGGAGTTCTTCTGCCAGGCATATAATTAGGGGCTGCCGCCACAGTGCACGGCCCGCAAAGTCATCATTGAGCAGCTGCCATAAGAGTGACGAGCAGAATAACATCTAAGCACATTTATGCTGGAAGCTGGAAATCCATCTGAAAGCATTCCTTCTGATTGAATTTTAACTGCCGCCAGCACTTTGTAATGTATTATTTTTAACTGTTATGTTTTAATTTGTATTATGTATGTTTTTATCATGTATTTATGTTATGGAAGCCGCCCTGAGCCTGCTTTGCGGGGAGGGCGGGGTATAAATCTGACAATAAACAAATTATGCACTGAATGAGTGCTTTGTTTGATTAAATGAGACAGAACTTCCATAATCTTCCTCTATAGCCATCTTTCCCCAAAACTACAGAAGTTACCTACCATGCAAGCTTGAATGTATCAACCAGGCTAAAGAAGGGGTATCATTTAGCAATTATACAGCAATATTAACCCTCATCACTAGATCCTGGGTGTATTATATATAGCCTCTATATCAGGGAACTTTGAAGATTAAATTTAGAATAGGCAGTTAGCTGGGTCTTCCCACATTTGAAAAATCAACTACCATTTGAAAAAAAATGTCTGGTTAACATGCATGACGAAAGCAAGCACAGCATGGTAAAAGGCTTTCCAACGCTTTGGCTATCAGCATCAAGCCTTGCCTGCAGCTGTATTGGGGTAACCAGGTAAGTTAAGAGGCTGGCTAAAGTGGCATCAAGGCTGTATTATGCCCGACATCTGAAAAGCCAATCCCTATATGAAGGCTTCTCTATTCAAAAGCAGAGGGTTCCAATCCACCAGCAAGTGTCCCAAGTTCACTGGCTTTCAAAAACTGGTATGAAATCAGTCTTGCAGATAGACATTAAGACATTTCTCTTATTCTCCTATAGAATACTGTCTTGTATCAGCCCTTGAAGGACTAGAGATCAAGAAAAAGGAATAAACGTATCTTTCTTAAATCCAATGCTCAGCACGCCCCTTTGGCAGCCCAACACTTTTTGCTCAAGACCATGCCTTGACACTGAGCGAGCGAAAGACAAATCTGATCACCCGCAAAAAGACTGTTCCATACCACTCTGCTATGTTCCCTCTCAAAGATCATTCATACCTAGGCATCCTCTCTATGACACAGCATACTATAGTTAGCTCCAGAAACTGGGATCCCACTGTGTGCATACAAACAGAGCTACAGAAAGAGCAGTTCTACAACTGACAACAATTTACCAGATTAGAACATGACTGTTAATCAAACCAGAGAACCAAGGCTCTGAAAAGTCTTACTCTCTTACCCTAAGACAGGATCTATTAGGTTTTAGGCATCCTAAATAGCTCAGCCTAATCTCTCCTCGAAAGCCTCGAAGAGAGGACAATCCTACAACTTCCTTTAACATTTTGTTCTAAAGGCTGAACTGCTCCAACAAGTTTTGTTTGATGTTTGACCTCAATCTACCTGCACCTTAAGTCAACTGACTGTCATTCTACCTTCAATGTGTAAAGGTATTTGCTGAAAGCAGAAAGTTTTGAAATGAAAGGACAGGCAGCTGCCTCTTTCACTCCTAACCCACAAAGTCGTCTTCATTCACATGAACACATGCACCTGCCTTATACTAAATCAGACTCTTTGTCCCTTAAGGTCAGTAGTGTCTACTCTGACTGGCAGCAGCTCTCCAGGGTCTCAGGTTGGGGTCTTTCACATCACCTCCTACTTGATCCTTTAACTGGAAGCTGAACTTGTGACCTTCTGCATGCCAAGCAGATGCTCTACCACTGAGACATGGCTCCCTCCCTCCCTCCACTCTTCCTTGCAACAAAACAGCTGAAGGCCAGTCCTACAACATACTTCAAACCCAACGCCATACAGTATACTCCAAAACCAACAGGGTCATAGTCAAATTGCCCAGGTCAAAAATGAGTTTCATGGAGTGGTTTAATCAATAACTGATCTGGGAGCCCCTAGCATATAGGAAAACATCAACAAGCTCCTGCTGTGAAAATCTGAATGCTTTTGTGGGGTTTTTTGCACAAAAGATAATTCAGATTTCCCACCAAGCACACCCCAACTACCACAGGAATGAGCCAAGCACTAAGATGTTAAGTACAGTTTTGACTTAACAGAAAGTGAGCCAATACAAGATGATTAGTCTTTCTTTTCCTAGGGTAAAAAGGTAAAGGTAAAGGTTCCCTTGCTCGAAAGCCAGTCGAATCCGACTCTAGGGTTCCGGTGCTCATCTCCGTTTCAAAGCCAAAGAGCCAGCGCTGTCCGAAGACGTCTCCGTGGTCATGTGGCCAGCATGACTAAACACCAAGACGCACGGAACGCTGTTACCTTCCCACTGAAGTGGTACCTATTTATCTACTTGCAATTTCTTGCTTTCGAACTGCTAGGTTGGCAGGAGCTGGAACTAGAGACGGGAGCTCACTCCGTCATGCAGCACCCGGGTCCTAGGGTACTGGCTTTATATTTTGCTTTTAGGAAATAACACTGTGATGAAGGCGGTTTAAATATTAGCATACATGCAGTGCCTTGGGCTCCAATGTTACACAGGCAGGTACGTTTTGTCAGGGGCTTTTAAAGAACATGTGACATTTGATGGATGTTTCCCCCTGCGAGTAAGATACACTCTGTACTACCCCCCTATCATCAATGGTCAGGTTGGTAGGGGACAGACTCATACCACAAGAATTTTGTGCACATTTCTATATAGACCCAGGGAGAGTGAACACTTACATGGAAAAGGAAAATATGAATCTGTCTGTATACAAGGGTAAAGGAGGTGTCTAACATGCTTGACCAAAAAGCTAACAGGTACCTAACTCTGCAAGAGATATATTAGCTAGCAATATATTAGCTAGCAAAACCAAATCAAAGTCCCTGACACACAGGATACCACAAAGGAGTCATCAGGACAACCCCATCTTCTCAGGAAGTACATTGTAACATTAAAATGAGAAGGTGTACTTCAAGAACTATGCTTTGTTTTAATCTTGGTTGAATTACCTCTATGGATCCATATGGCTAAAAACGTAGCACTGTTCTTGCATGTTTTTCTTAAGTATGGCCTAGTAACAGAACTCCCCGCAAGCAAATCATGCAAGTCAATGTGAAACTGAGATTTCAACAAGTAATTAAAACAAATACAAAATAAGAATAAAGAATATAAGGAAGAGGTTGAAGCCAGGAATCTAGTGTGATCTAATGTACCTAATAATGCTGTGTAGGTAATATACACTTAATACTGGTTTCACAGAGCAACCTTATTCTACTACACATGCAACCTGCTAAAGAGCAGCAGTAGTTTAAAAATCAAGTAACTGCCGATTCCATGCCACTTAGTCACACCCTAAAGCAGCCATAATCTGGAATTTGTAAGGCCCAATCTTATCTAAAATGCTACCTGGCCTGCAAACAGATGAGCCCCTGAAGTCAAGGTCTTGGCCTTTATTACAAACAGCTAACTGGACTTCAGGCACAGAGGTCAGCAAAACTATAAAACGACTGAAGAATGGCATTTGAGGGGCAAGTTTCATATGGCAGCTAGTGTTTCATGACAGACCTGCTGGAGATCTCCAGTGGTAATCCTGCACTTCCAACTTCAGAGAAAAGGGAAAGCTGGTTTGCAGGAAAGCCAGATTATAGGGTACACAGGCACATCTTTTCAATCCCCAGCTAAAGTGGTCTTTTAGCCGCACAGCAGTTGCTCCAGCTTGTCAGCACTGATGTCACCGGCCTTGGCCAATGTACAGCACTGGCTCCATAGTTTACTGCAGCACTTTGAGTCATTCTTCAATTGGCAGCTCTGCAGGCACATGCATACTATCGCCAATGCTAGGGCTGGAATTTAGAAATAATTTCTATTCTTGAAATAGCAAACAAATCATGATCCCCCCCAAATTAAAATGGAATCCCTTAAGTATATATACCCCAGGGTTTAGGCTTTTAGAAGAGTCATGGCATGCCTGCCTCTCCAGGAGTTTACACTGAACACAGAAACAGGATTTTGCAGTTTGCTGTGTTAGTAGCGTATAGAGATGGATCTTGGTCTGTTTGACAGTAGTAGTCAGAAACAGCCCCAGCAAGGCGTTGCTAATAACTAACTAGAATGTT